ACGTAAAATTCTTTTCCGAAGAGCATCGAACTTAATTTTCCTTCGATAGGAAAGTTGTTACCGTTTAAAAGAGGTTCGTAGAAATATTCAATCAGAATTTGTTCTACATGGATCAATACGTAAAAAAATTTAATATATTTTACAAATATGTAAGAACATTATCGTCCATAATAATTATAGATCGTTTAATAATTCTATAATCGTTGACGTACGATAAAATATTAATGTCGTTGGAATAAATTGATACGAGAGAATGATGAATTCCCGGTATTTCTTATAACGACAAAATATACGTCCATATTGATTCTGAACAATTTATATCAATATTGACGATTTAACTGAAATAAACGTACACGTATGATCCTATCCAATCATCGAATCAAATCGATGAATGCGATTAAAAAAAAAAAAAAAAGATAAATAAATAAATAAAAAGGAATAATGAAAAAAAAAAAAATTGTAAAACTCGAATCCAGTAAAATTCCTTAGATAAGCGTTATCTCCGATTATAACTTTTGTAATTCTATCAGGATCAATAAAATTTTTAGGTTTCTTTAATCCAAAAAAAAAAACAAAAAAAAACAAAAGAAAAACGTACGATTCCTTTTCTTCTTTAATCAGATAGAAAGAATGAGAAAGAGAGAAAGAGAAAGAAAGAGTGAGGAAAAAGTATGGCGTGCTTATTCACACGGGATTATAGATCAAAAGAACGTTTTTAAAGCACGCGACCTAAATACGAAGCGATACAACCGGAGACCACCATGCCTTTTTTCTTTTTTCTCCTTTTGTTTCTTTTTGTTTTTTCTTTCTTTTTTTTTTTTTTTTTTACTTGGTACGTCGGCCATCGCTATTCTTGAAAGAAAGAATTTATGGCGGCAACGAGTTTTCACACGGATGTATATATACATATATATACATATATGCACATATGCATATTTATGTGTATATGTATATGTACACATATGACTGATGATCGATGCACCATGCCATATTTATTTTACTGCCTTGCAGAGTTATACCAGAAATGATGATGGAGCGGAATTCAAACGATTCAAACGAACAACACTGCCGACTTTCTACTGTAAACAGCCAATAAAAAGGAAAAAAAAAAAAGAAAAAAAAATATTCGAATGAATGAACGAAGGAAGAAAAAAAAAGAAGAAAGAAAAAAAAAAGTATAAATAATTTTATATAAACGTCCATATAAATGAGAAATATTTAAACAGCATTGATCCGACAGCACCATTCAATTTTTCGCTTTTTTTTCTACTAAACTTAAAGCGATGTGTTCAATCCGTGTAAGCCGAATGATGGTTGTCTAATTAAAAAGAAAAAAGCAAAGAAAAAATATTAAAAAAAAAAATAAAAATAGAAATAAAAATAATAACAAAGGAAAAAGAAATTTTATATGTGTATACATATACATATTTATTTATATAATTTTATTTATATATATATATATATATATATATATTTATATATTTAGTTTTACGTTCCACTCCACTAACAATAATAATAATAAAAAATTATTATTATTGTTATAATCGTAAGAATAGAGAAAGAAAGAAAGAGAGAGAGAGAGAGAGAAAGAGAGAGAGAACGAGAGACTGTATATATTATACATATATTATACAGATACACAAAACTCCATTTAACTCCAGTTGTCCTAAGACCTCAGATCCCATTAGTCCCGCCATTCCCACTACTCCCATTACTCCAATTCTTGTGACAGAGCCTTCATTAATGAATAAGAAGTAACCCTAATCAGAATAAATTGACTTATTGAGCTTATAACACCTTACAATTAACATTTACATACATATATATACATATATATATATATATATATATATATATATATATATATATACATATATATATATATATATATATATATATATATATATATTATAATATGTATATATATTAAATGATATGTATATAAAAATTAATGTATATAATTATAAATATATATTATATAATATATATCATATAATATATATATATATATATATATATAAAATAATAAAATGAATACTTTTATTTTAAATATATATATATATATATATATACATATACGTTCATGTATATATATGTGTATGTATGTGTGTGTATATGTACATATAAAATAAAACTATTAATATTTCTATATCAAACGATTAGAAATTTCGTTAAGAAAAATCTTCGATTCCATTCGCGGAATATTTCTTACGATTATAAAACGTAATATCGCTATATATTTATTTTTTCTTTTATTTTTGATATATGATCCAAACAAATTACTCTTCGATTTAGAAATTAAAAAATGTCAAACATCATTGATCTAATAAACATTCGATATAATCTCTCGATAGCTAGACTTTAATTGCGCTATAGGAAAAACGAAAAAAAAAATAAATAATAAATAAATAAATAAATAAATAAAAAAAAAAAAATCAACAACAACATAATTTTTTCTTAACGTATCACAATTTCAATAAAAATTTTCTTCGTGGATTATCCAACCCGTTGAATCTTATTTTCTTTTTAGCATTCATAAATGGCCACGGTTTCTTGTTTTTCCTTTTTTCTTTTCTCTTTTTTTTTCTCTTTTTTCTCCGAACAAATACAAATCCATAACACTTCGATGAACACGGCAATTATTTTTGATATCTTACTACCGACCACATTTTGAACTCTTTAATGTGTTTACTTAACAAGGAAAAGCTAAACAACTCTCTTTCGTCTTTCGTAAATTCGCCACGATTTTTTGTCGCCGCTTGAAAGAAATCTATTCTATAAATCTTACGTAGATGTTAAAAAAAAAAAAAAAAAAAAAGAAAAAAAAGAATAGAAAGAAATAATCTTGATTAATCGATCAATCCATCATCGGACGACAAATTGAAATTATTGGTACATCTTATCGATATGTAAATAAAATTCACGTAAATACACGATGTAATAACATGTTACATACAACAATAATGACATAGAAAAAAAAAATCACATTAGTTACGTTATTACGTAAGTTGCATTGATTATAAAATAAATCGCATTATAAATATTATAAATGTAACAAATTAATATCATTGATGAGTGAATTCTTATTCTCTTATCATTTATTTCTGACGATTGATACTCATCGATTATTATTAAAATGATATATTTTGAAATAAAAAAAAAAAAAAAAGAAATAAATAAACAATAAAAATATCGAATAGAAAGAAAGTTATTCACTCTTCTTTCCTTTCAATATTACAAATTTACAAGGATAATAAAAAATGATAATTCAAAAAAATCAAAAAAAAATCACGTAGAGTGAATTATACATTTTCTTGCCTTTATATCCACTTAATTATAAAATAAAAATGTATTAATATTGATATTGCAAATAAGAAGGATTCGTAAATGTCAATTTGAGAATACAACGAATTGAATATATGTATGTACATATGTAATACGTATACGTTAGTATAAATATAAACAAATGCGATACATACATATAGGTAGGTACAATTTTCGATATTATAAATTATACGCGCATGTTTACTTTTATTCTTAATCTCTTTAGCTTCTATTGTTTTTTCTATGTTTTATATGGTTCTTCGTTATCCTTCGTGTGTTTGTTGTGTGCACGTGCGTATGCATAAACATATAAATATATACATATATATAAAAAAAAAGATATAATAAGAAAAGTTACATTATTTTACGTATAAAATATATCAAAAATGTGAAACATAAAAGACTCGACATTTGGTCAAACCGAAAGTTCAATGTCTTTTTTTAATTTTTTCTTTTATCTAACAAACTGTATTTTTTCAATTAATTAACTACATATTTTAATTACTTATCTTTAACATGAAAAAAAAATAAACATATGTATATATCCAGTATATCGTATATATAAATAAATAAAAGAAAGATAGAAATAAATGCATCTATTTAATATAGTTTTTCTGTTTTGTATTTTTTTTTTCTTTTTTTTTTTGACGGGACAAAATTAATTTCTCTTTCTTTCTTCAAATGCAACAACGATCCAAATGAAATCCATTTCTCTGTACTATTTTCATTTCTAATGAAACGTCGTGAATGTACTTACATATATACGTATTGTCGACTTCTTTTTCGTTCAAATAAATAAACAGTACCAAAGGATTTTGAAATAGTTCCCACAAGCGAGATAAAAGCGCGCGAGAATATTGTATTGAAATAATTCGTTCCCATGTGTACGACCGCCATTTTAGTTTCTCTCTTTCTCTCTCTCTCTCTCTCTCTCTCTTTTTCTCTCTTTCTCTCTCTCTCTCTCTCTCTCTCTCTCTTTTTCTCTCTTTCTCTTTTTCTCTTTATCTTTGCATTCTTATAAGCTATATATGTTTAAAACTTAAAATTTCAATTGGCTCGAGAAACGGCCGAAAATATCACGGTACAGACAATATCGTTTTCTCTTTCTGGCAAAGCACTTTCTTCGTTGTGCGCATGCGCGACGTTTAATACTTCCAATAAAAGAAAACAGAAATGTTAATACAAGCTATTTATAGGTTAGGATAATGGAATAATATATTAATTTAATATATTCGTTAATAATTGAAGAAAACTTATTTACCTCTATTATTATTTTACAATATATCATAGCTTTTTTTCTTTTCTTTCTTTCAGATGAAAATTGATAGTTTTATTTATACGATGTATCATAATCTAATTCGCGTGATTTTACAATTCAATTTTGTATTTAACCGCCTGCGCAAAACAACTTGCGTACAACGCGCGAAATTATTTTCTTCTATTTCTAACTTCATCGGTGACACTTCCATTTACTGGATCAACATACATATAATAGTTTTATTATATATATATATATATATATATGCTTTTACATGGATATGTGTGATAAGGTAGAATCCATTCGATTTCCGGTGCTCTCATACAAAAACGACATAAAAAAGGTGGCCGTCGTTTACTTAAAGACGAGTATCGCTTATCGGTTTTCGTTGACCAATGAGAGAGCTGATGCTACTTACGGGTTCAGTTCAGCCAACCTCATTGGATTTAGTTCTTAACTGAAAAGCGTATGGTGAAGACGTTATTTTTCTAGATATTATTCGCAAATCTATTCGTTGTCTTTATCAATAAAATCTATATTTAGTATATATAAAAATGTACGTAAATTCATTGTGTAGTATATAAACTTAACCCTACAATGTTAGTTTGATGTGATGACATCTAACGGGAAAAAATATAACAGTGAAAATAATATATATTTTGATAGTCATTTTAAGGTTATATATATATATATGTATGTATGTGTGTGTATATATATGTATATTTAATATATGCATATATAGATATATTATATAAATTGAAATAAAATTATGTTTGACAATTATATTAATTATATTACAATTGATGTATATTTGTTTAGAAATAATATTAACACATGATAAAATTACACATCTAATTACAGATATAGCTGTGTTATCTAGAATATAATTAATTTAAGATCAACATTTTCATCTGCTTCTAGCTTTTGAAATTTATATTTCTATTAGAATCTTTCTGTCTCTATCTTTCACTATTTTTATATATATATATATGCATATATATATATATATATATATATATATATATATATATATATATATTTATGAATATGCTTGCTTAATATAATTGTTAAAAAATATATATATATATAAAAATTGCTTATATATATTCATAAAAGTATTTAAGAAATGATTTAATCATAATATAACAAATATATACTGATATAATATATACTTATATAATTTAATAACATAAAAAAACAACGTTGATTCTTGAGTGATAGAATATTGTTTTACACATACAAAAGTTTGTTTAATATTTTATAGTATACTGCAATATAAAATCTACTATTTGAAAGATGACAACCCCAATAAGTACAGCAATGGATAGATTAAGTGCTGCATTAAATTCAAATATAATACCAAATCAAGAATATTTACTCCAAGGCTCGGTATTAGACAGTGCTGTGGAAGTGTTGCTTCATAGATTAAGAGGCTTATGTGATAATGTTGATAGCGGTCCTGAAACATTCAACGATCATGAAATGTGTTTTAGTATTAGAAGGTATTCAATAAAAGATATAATAAAACTGTCAAATAAAATGTTATTCAATATATTTAATTATAATGTAAAACTAATGAAATAAGTCAAAGTTTATATATAAGTTTTTTGTTTCTAGAGGACCTCCTCCTGAACAACCATTACTGTTAAGAGTTAGAAGGGCATTGGATTATCAAGATATGCCTTGGCAATTAAGATATATAGGTCAACCAGAATTAGGTGATAAATCACGTCCTACAATTGTACGCAGCAGCATAGATATTGCTACCAGCAGTACTGTTGTTGAATTTTTAACAGAATTAGGTTGTAGATTGGATTTTGAATATATAGCTAGAGGTTACATGTTCCGCAAAGGTAGAATGAAAGTTACAGTATCAAAGATTTTTAAGATGGGTCAACAAGGAAAAATACCTGAAAGTGTAGAAGCTATATCCCAAAGTTATCTGGTAGAATTAAGTGTTCTTGCACCTAGTGGTCAAGATGCAATAGCAGAGGATATGAGAATATTCGCAGAACAGTTAAAACCATTGGTTCAGCTTGAAAAGATTGATTATAAAAGACTTGTTCATTAAAGTATACATTTGAGAAAATATAAAGAAGATATAAATATCATATTTTGTATTAGAATTAATTTAATAAAGTATAATAACATTGCAAAAATATCCCCTTTTTGTATATGATCTTATGAGATAAATTATTTATTTTAAAAATATAATGATTTTATTAATTATTACTTTTGAACAATTCAATTAATTAAAACTTATAAAATCAATACCTACAGAAAGTATAACTAACCAAAACCATATGTTACATCTTTCATATGTTCCGCGGTCACAACGTAATTCAAATTACGTTTATTATCGATTTTTTAAAAACGAACATTTATCCCATTGATTATCTTTTATAGGATTGAAAATAATTCCAGTTAATTTACGAATAATATTTATTTTTTACTTTAAACGCGGTCGTTATAAAAACAAGCATAACCTTTTTCATATAATACTTGATATCTATTGTCGGTATAAATAATAACGGAATGTCATCAAAAATGTTAAATTAATTAATTGTATGTAATTTTTATATACATTCAATTACATATTTTGTAATAATAATTTACATTTTAAATTCTTATTTGACTTAAAACCGGAAAGAGGTACATATACATATGCTCTGTTGCCAGCTTGACTAGAAAGGAGGCCACAAAGAGAGCCCAACACGAAAACCTCCATTTTGTGTCATTTCTGCGTGCACAGTGCTGGAGGACAAGTGTGCGTTACCGCGTAGTAATTTTGTTCGTGTGTTTTTTAATAGTTTGATCCAAATAGTAAGTAAAAACAAATGCGTAAAAGTAATAACTTATAGATAATAAAAGGTATATATGAAAGAACAAACAATTAGGATAGATTTTGACGTATGAAAACGATGAGAATAATAAATGAGTAACATCGATAGCGTCGGTTTAGTTTCAATACAATCGTTTCGTAAATATCTTTTTTTCTTTTTCTTTTTTTTTTTTTCTTTTTTTTCCCTTTCACTAACAATTATTATTATGCATTTTATATATCATTGACAAGGATAGATCGTCCGATGAACCGGAAGTGTATCTTCATGAAGATATTCCATGAAGATATACGATACAAAAATAACTCAATCTTTATCACCGTAAATCGTAATGTAGCCACGACGCTGCGGCTTGGTATATTAATACAACATGGCGACATTCCGATTGCTTTTCTGCATATCAGTTAACTTTTGTACTTTGGGACGGTATTAATTAAATTCAATACCGTATAATATATCGATCGATTAAACTTCATCTTAACTTAATGACATAAAATATTTGAATAGTGAAATTCGATGTCCAATAGTTTTATCATAACCGGTCGATATATATATATATATATATATATATATATATATATATATATATTTAGTCAAGGGACAATTGAATGCGTAATTGTCCAATTTCTTTTACGATTAATATCAATCAAACAAAATTTGTGATTTTTCTTATAACTTATTCTTCAATTTATTTTTATTCTTAATAAAAATAGTTCTCGAAGAGATACTTATTTATTTATTTATTTATTTAAATATTAATATTTATATGTATATATATATATGCATATATATATATGTATATGTATATGTATATGTATATGTATATGTATATGTATATGTATATGTATATGTATATGTATATGTATATGTATATATATATAATTTTATTACAGTCATAAAATATGTCACGTTATCGGGAGTGGGAGATTTCCTGCAAAGTCTACATCGGCAATTTGGGCAGTAGTGCAAGTAAACATGAAATTGAAAGTGCATTCAGCAAATATGGTCCTCTTAGAAATGTCTGGGTTGCTAGAAATCCACCTGGATTCGCATTTGTGGAATTTGAAGATCCAAGAGACGCCGAAGATGCTGTAAGAGGATTAGATGGAACGTGGGTATCTTCATATATTTATATATATATATATATATATATATATATATATATATATATTTGATTAGTTTAAATATCATAAAGCTTTAATAAATTTATAAAAAGACTATATGAAATATTTTACTTTTTAGACGTTGCTGTGGTACAAAAGTTAAAGTAGAGATGTCCACTGGAAGAAGGCGACACAGTGGTGGTGGTCGCAGGCCAGGTCCACGATACTCCAGGTAAGAGATCTTTAGATGTTAAATATCTGCATTTTACAGCCACTTTAAAGCTGCAGCAGATGGCTATGTATCTCACCAAGTAGGTATTATGGTGAACTGTCTAAATAACGGTATTGATGAAAGGTCCTCGGGTTTCAATGACCTTCCCTTGTGCACAGCCGACGAACCAATAATTTTTTTTTTTGCCGTATCTCAATATAGGAATGCAGATAGAACAGTATATTCATATTACATTCGTTCAATATCACCGCTCTTCTGGCTAGTGCCCTGATATAAAATATCCTGGTGTAATCAAATTTAAAGTATATAGTGACTTATATATATATATAAAAAAAAAAAAAAAAAAAAGAAAACAAAGAAAAAGAAGAAAAAAGAAAAGAAAAAAGGAAAAATTACATCGACTTGTTATTACATTCTATTTGTATTTGTATAAAATAGATAGTGTAAAAAATTTGACGTTAGCTGAAGAGCATAATCGTTGCATGAAAATCTCGATAAGAGAAGATGCTCGGGCAAAAAATAGTCATGAAGTGTAGTGTTTTCTTAAGTATTGCTTAGAGCCCACATTTTTTCCATTTTATTGTCCTTGTGAATATGCTTAGTGAACAGGATTTACGTACCATATATCTTTTTGACAAATTTATAGGTCCAGATCTCGCAGTCCTCGTAGGAAATCTCTGGGTCGTTATCCAAGGTAAGATTTTTATAGCCTCTTTGCTCACAGTTTTCAGGTGCAAGTAGCGAAAGAAAACAGTGAGACAGGGTGGTCGGCAACACTATCAGCAGAAGAGACATACAATGGTTTTTTTAATTTTTTTTAGGTCTTGGTCAAGAAGTCCGCGAAGATCACCAATAAACAGATATTCCAGGTAATTGTCTCTTTTTATAACTTTATGGAGTTTTCAGAGCCTTAGAAAGCAGTAACGGTCCAAGTGTAAATTTACAAGTAGGTATTTGCAAGTACCGCTTGTATTGTGATAATTGCTATTGTGCACGCAGTATCACAACAGATCATATCTGACGTTTAGTATTATGTACGACACCGTTTTGCAATGTTGGTGTTGCACAATCGTCTTAATTGACGGTTGAGTAATACCTATTGATCAGCAAGAGTTGGAGAGGACAGGACTAAAGTGCTGCTATAGAGGGAGGACGAAGAGGTAGTTCGGAACAAATGAAAAAAGAAAATTCTGATGAAGATCAAGAATTATTAAAGTTGGGGACTGCTCTTCGAACTTGGCCCGATGTAAGAGAAAGCAGCACCGGTGACACATAAAAGTAAATCAACGGTGTCTGGTGTTAATTTTTTGAACCCAAAGTAAAAGATTTCAATTTTTATTATAATTATAATTATAATTATTATTATTATTATCGTACTCTACAATCTGGTTTGTCATTGTAAGATTTTTAATAGGCTTTTTCGATATCCGAGGTCTGATGTTTATTGAAATTGATATCAATTCTTTTGTTATTATACTTACTATATGTGAAAGTGATTTTTTTTTTCTTTTTTTTTATATATATATATATATATCAATATTAAAATTGATTGAAATAATTTGCTAAAGACTTCTGATTTCGAAGTAAATCATCATTTTGATAAATTTAAACACTAATACTTCATTTCGTCTTATCGTATACACACTTATGCAACTGCTTTGAAAAAGAACACATTAAAAATACTTTTTAATCTTTTGGTACATTCAAATACTTTTTTTTTTTTTTTTTTCTTTTTTCTTTTTTTATATATATATATAAATATATATCTTGCATTATGCGAATATCGATAAAATTACAGAAAAGGAAACAAAGAGAGGTAGAAGAATAGCTAAACAACATTCATCATGTAGATTGATTAGTTAAAATAATATTAGAAATCTTTTCGTTAAAACATTTAGAGAGAGAGAGAGAGAGAAAGAGAAAGAGTGGGCAGTCTAGGATAATAAAGACAAAAACATAGAATAAATCTCGAAATCGTGGTATTACTTTCGATTCCAATTTGAAAAAAAAAAAAAAGAAAAAAAAAGAAATTAAAAGAAAAGAATCATTATACCGATAGTGGCAAGGAGTATAATAACGTCGATGGTTATATTGCTAAAACTGACGTTTGCAGATTCTACCAGCGTCAGCTCCTAGCTCTTCTCGTCTCCCCGCCACTACTACTACTACTAGTACTACTACTACTACTACTACTACTACTACTACTACTACTACTACTACTACTACCACTACTGCTACTGCTACTAGTACTACTACTACTACTACTACTACTACTACTACTACTACTACTACTACTACTACTAGTACTACTACTACAGCCACCGTGAAAAAAAAAATTTGTTTAGCAATCGAAACTGAACAAAAAAAAAAAAAAAAAAAAATATATGCCTGCCTGCCCACTAACTTCCCAACCAGTCACCATCAGTCACCACCAAGTCACCGATAGGAGCCAGGTCGTCAGTCACTTGACAGTCCGATGCTGTCCGTCAGTCCGTCACTCCGTCTGTTCCCCTTCAAAAAGACTTCTTCGGGCTACCTCAACCTCTAGCGGCTTAGGAGCATCGTGAATCCATCGAACAGCCGACGCGATACGAATACTTCTGTCAAAATCTCGACGCGTCAGTCCGTCCGTCCGTCCCAACTTCTACTACTACTACTGCTACTACTACTACTACTACTACTACTACTACTCGTCCACCATCACGTTAAACTTAGCCGACAACGCGACCGCCACTTCTCTTCGACCAAGCAAAGCAAAATGATCACCTACACACCATCCTACCACCACCCAACCAAGTACCACCACCACCACCAACCACCACTACATGTTCACAGTTGTCTGGTATTTCACCGATTTTCAAAGATTTTTTATAATTTTTTTTTTTATCTTTTTTTTTTTTTTTTTTTTTTTTTATATATATATATATAATTATACTACAATTATTATTATTACTATTATTATTATTCTTATTCTTATTATTCATATTATTATTATTATTATTATTATTATTCTTATTATTATTATTATTACTACCATCGTCATCGTCATCATAATAATAATTATTTACGTTTCTTTTAATCAAGCAAATTTCCATGGTACGACGTGCGACAATTAGCTCTATTTGATTGATTGAAAAATGATTCGTTAGAATTCTTTTTCAATAATTAATTCTCTTGTCTATTTTTCTGCTTCTTTAATTTCTTCTTCTTCTTTTTTTTTTCTTCGAAATCTGAAATAATCATTATTATCATTTAACTCAATGGAGCACTTCGAACCAAGGAATTGCAAGTTTGTTGTATATGTATATATACATTTAGAGAGTACTCCTATGTATGTTTGTATGCACATGGCCGTGATTGGTCGCGTGCGCGTATATGTGTGCATATACACGTACACGAGAATATAATAATTATTTATATTCTAATAATTTTTATTACAATGTATATATACATATTGTATAACGTCGTCATAACAATTTGCCGTAGAAGAGAGAGATTGTTTAACTACCAGATTAATCCTACTTTTTTCTTGATTTTTTCTTATTGGTGAGATGTCATTTTGTATTGATTCATAATTGTGTCTAACTAGTCTTATCACCCCTTAGGTATATAGGAGTTAGTTCTAATTCTATTACAGTTGGCTTGCGATGATTTTTTGTATATATGTGTTTAATTACGTTACTTTGTCCTGATTTCGTATTCGTGTACTTTTGTTCATCGAATCGACTTAACTATTTTATATATTTTATTTTATATTTATATATATATATACACACGTTTGTCCACATGGAATATAGATGTATATATATTATAAAAATATTTGTATATGTCGAGGAAAAAAAAAGATTTGTATCGTGATTAAATGATTAATACGAATACGAATACGAGACTTGGCAGAGACACGTGTTAGGATTAAATTTTGTTTGTCGTATTGTTAATGTCGGTATAAAAGTATTTTTTAATTTTTTAGGTCAAGGTCCCGCAGTCCACGTAGGAGATCTTTGACCCGTAGTCGCAGCCGAGACCGCCGTTCTCGTTCGGATTCTCGTGACAGACGGTACTTATAATTATTATATAATAAACTAATAATATTAATTTGTAATTTTTTTTTTCTCTTTTTTTTCCCTTTTCTTATGAGAATAGAGTATTATAAAAAGGGAAGACTTCGTGAATACATAAAGCAAGAGGAGAAAGGAGGGACGAAAAAAAAAAGAAATCTCGGTAAATAAAAAAAAAAAATTCACTTTGCTTTTTGGCTAATTTCACTTAGCCGAATGAGAATTATGCCGGTGTCTTAATTTGTAATTAGTACTTTTGAAAATTGTAATTTGTTTAAAAAATAATAATAATAATAAAAAGAAAAAAAAACCAAAAAAAAAAAAAATAAATAAAGCAAACGAAAAAAAAGAACCAATCGTCTAACATTTAGTTGCATTGCTGCGATCAATTATTATATATATATATTTTTTTTTTTTTTTCGTATCCCTTAACAAGGGCGATACGATTTTCATTGTAAATACTCTTAATAATTCGATCTTTAAAAATTATTTGTTACATGATTATATTATTTTTTTTTTTTTTTTTTAATTATAATTTCTATTGAAACGTCTGCGTTCCGTTTGATTTCAGTTAGATGCTAAATATGACCGAGAAAACTGGACCGACTTAAGGGCGGGTTGGACTACACGTGGCGACTAAGTCCCACACGATCCGTACGTTTGCATTTATTTGTTTACGATACGACGGCGTTAATCCATCGTATCGTAAATAAACAAAAGTAAACGTAGGGATATGATATGTGCGCGTGGACGCGTCGTACGCGCGCATACGCATACATATACATACAGACATACATACATACATACATACACATACACAGATACAACAAATAAACACAGTGACAAGTAGTTAGGAATAACTAACACGGATACGCAGTGCTCGACACTACACAAAAATAAACTCACACTAATGTAAATGACTGGGCGCAAAACACAACCCTTGAACGTGTGTTGGCTGAATTTCTTTAAGTGTATAAGTGAAAAATGGGACATATGAAAATCGCTGTTAAGGATAATTATAATAAGAAGTAATTAATAATAAAAGAATTTAAAATAAAAAAAGGAAAAAAGAAAAAAGAGAGAAAAAAAAAGAAAAGAAAACTAAAAACGAAAAAAAAAAACAAACAAACAAAGACGAACGTTTTCATTATGCGTTTAATCAACCGAACCGGGAAAAGAGGAAGAGAGAGAGAGAGAGATAGAGAGAGAGAGAGAAAAGATAATACATAGATAGATTTCAACGTGAGAAGATAATCGTAAAATAAATCGTACCGTCGTGTTAAATACAAGGGTGATGATAAAAGGAAAAAAAAAAAAGAAAGAGCTGTTTTATGTTATATTTACTTATTTTGTACTCCTACAATGTAAGCCTTAAAAATAAAATCTGTATGATCTAACTCGTAATGTATTTGGTAATAATGATGATGATGATGATGATGATAGTGGTGGTGGTGATAAAAAGGGAGGGGCAAGGAAGTGTGAAAGGAAAGGGGGTAGAGAAAGAAGGGTCGCGATGATAATGGAAACGACATTGATGACGATGACGATGACGGTTCATTTATATTTTATTAATATTTCAGTTTATAAAAGATCTGTTTTGCGTATCTCATGTCGTAGTGATGTTACCCAACGCTAACATACACAGTCTAACACCCTGCTGACACAAATGGTAGTCTCTGATCGGTAAGGACAATGTTTCATCAAGAAGTATCAAGATCTTCAAATACGTTCGAAGAGCTTGCTCATACTCTCCGCATTCTAGATGACGCGACGCCATTTTAAATAACATGTCTGTATCCTGCAACGCCTTCAGACCCTTCAATAGGTTCGTACCTTTCCCACATTTTGGACAATTAATCATAAACTCGTTCGTATCGGTTTTAATTGGTAAAATGTTCCCGCAAGATTTTCCAGTGTCACATTTAAACCTTACAATTGAATTTATCATTAATTATTATTTTTTAATTATCGTTACAGGTTCGTTCATTCGTCTAGAAATTCATCGTCTTTTGCAAATCACGTTCGTCTCTTGTTCGTTTGCCAATATTATTTTATATATATATATATATATATATATATATATATATATATAAATGAAAAACAAATTGTTCTTGATAGATTCAATAATTGTAATAAGATAAAGATTCGATAAAGTATCATCGTATGTTGATATATGTAATTTTAAAGAAATTCTAAATTTGTATCTTGTATAACGAGCGATGATCCATGTAAAAAATATCTTTATCTTAAATAATAATAATAATAATAATTATTATTAATTCATTATATATTATGGAATTTATAATTGTATGTAATATGTATAATATGAAAACCATTTGTGTAGATACTTTACAACGTATACGTAATTTTAAATCTGTAATGATTCTTCTGATGGCTGCAACAGTTGATGATAATCACGTATATTACATATTCATGTAATATGAATTTTTGTGAAGTAATGAGTAAAATTTGAATAATTCTATTTTTGATTAAATCGATAGTCATATTTAAAAAGATCTCAGTTATGTCGATCATTTAATTTGCCTGAAATTCTTTAAATTTCTTAGAAAGAATTTGTGAATAATTTCCTCTTGTAAATATTGTAATTTCAAATTATTGAAAGAAAAAAAAAATATATAAACTCGTTTAAGTAGATTTTCATTAGATATGAAAATATGAACACGTTTATGTAGATTTTTAATTGAGCGTATAATTTTGTTAAACGTTCTGATTTAAAATTTTTATTTGGAATTAATTTTTTTTTTGTTTTTTTTTTGTTTTTTTTCCTGTTACATATACCTTATTTTTTTTTTTATATAAGTGTCATTAACAATTCATAAATCGAATGGCGACAATCTCTCAAGGAATAATTTTGCAAAATTAACTTTGATTTGCAAAAGGAGATAAATTTCTAGCGTAAAACTTATATTACGTTTACTTTAGTTAAAATGAAAATAATCTCTAACTTTATTGACCAATCAGGAATACGATGAGATTTGATTTATCATATCATTATTATTATATCATTTTATTAATTTTAAGATGAAAGATATATTACTTAAGATCACTTTTATAATCGCTAAAATATTGTCATTGAATTTATTTATTATTGTATTTCTTTTTTTTTTTTTTTTTTAATTTCTTTTTTTATATTTTTCTTTTTTTACAAAATGATAAAAGTAAAAATACAAGCTTCGTACCTGAGTATCGTAGGATCTATTTCATCCAACATAGGCCAATGATTCGTGCACGCTTCGCATTTGCAATCGAACCAGTATTGTACTCTCAAATTTCGTTTTCTTTCATTTTCCGGCATTGCAGTAAATATAGGACCATAATTTTCAGATATCTCCTCACCTTTCTCAATCGTTCGTATGGCTCTAACAACGATAGTCGTACCAATGAAATATCTAAACAATCGAAAAGATCGAGTTTATCGATTAAGAACATTTTATTATTATTATTTGTTTTTTTTTTTTTTTTTTTTTTTTTTTTTTATCAGATCCACACACAAAAGTCGAAATCTATATCTCATAATAAACCATGTAATAAGGATAAAAAACAAAAATTAGTTTTGATCACTTTACAACCGGCAGATATATTGCGACTCAATGTTGTTCATGATACATTTTGAACGTGATATTTTTTTTATGCGATATTATTTATCATACGCTTTGGATAAAATATTTCGTGTACTATTTTACAATGTTTATAATACAATATCCCTTTTGTTCGACGATTTTCACATATGTCTTGTCATACTTGGATTTCCTTGAGTATAATAATCAGGGCACGATAATTTCGATAGAATAGAATTATTAGCGATAGTAAAATAAATAACAATGACAATGACGTATAGTTTGTGAATCTTTCCATTAACGGAGTATCATCGTTAATACGTTTCGTGCCAAGCGCCATTTTTGTCTGACTTATCGTTCAGGCCATTTGATATTTTGACTAAAGAAAAAAATGACTGCGTGTACCATCGGTGGTACACGTGGCATGAAGATCAAGTTTAACGTGTACCACCGGTGGTGCACATGGCATAGTACGTGTTAACAAATTTATCAAAGCAATGACGATGGAAAATATCAATAGCAATAGTAAAGTTTGAATTACATATTACAAATTCTATAGATAATAATGACGAAATGTAATAGCAGTTTGATATAACAGAAAAATCTTGGCCAATTTCTAATTTTGAATATTTCATTAATCAGGAACTTATCCAAACGATTATTAATAAAAGTAATAAATACAGGGGGAAAAAAAAGAAGAAAAAAAACTATATAAATAAACTATATATGGGGGTTTCCCAAAGCGATTTTGCAATTTTACAATTATAGCGACACTTATTCATTCATCACGATCATTATATATATGATAATATATATGATAATTATATATATATATATATACATCATTATATATTATATATATATATATATATATATATATATATATATATTTATTTATTTATTTATTTATTTATCTATGTTTTTTTACAGATCCAATATTACAATCTACCGTTTGTAAAGAAAATTATACCAAGAGCATAATTCTTACAAATTCTACAATTCATTGATTTCAACAATGTGGATAATAATAGAAAAAATTTAGAAATTATTAGCAAAACATAAAATACAATTCATTATTGACTTTTTATTGATACATTTTCAAAATGTATATCAATCGGATGTCAGATACATCGTTGTAAATGAAAGCTTGATATTATGGAAAGATAAATGTGTCATTTAAAAAGTACATTTCTTTTAAACGAGCAAGATTTAATTTTAAAATATTTGCTTTAATTGAATCTCGAATTGATTATATCTTCAATTTTAAACTTTACAATAGACAATTGTTACGTGAACTAAAATTCAAATCATTTGAAATATTTGTATTCATTGTCATTCATTTATCAAAGGATTTAAGGAATTACATATAAAAAGTCTATTTGAAGATCATTAAAATAATATAGAAAATATTTTTTGTATTTTGATCGATATTACCATAAATAATTGTTTTATTATATGGAACTGTTTTCAGGAAAAAAGAAGAACTTTTTGTAAAATAAAAGAAAAGACATTATTTCATAATGATTAGAAAAATATTATATATATCATTAAAAATATCTCGAAGGAAAAAAAAAAAGAAAAAAGAAATGTCACCGGATGAAACGATGTATACTGTGTAAAGAGTGAAATATTCGTAAAGAAAGTAATTATTTTTACAAAAATTGTAATATGTCGTTATGTATCACACCATGTTTCATTCATTTGAAAAATAAAATTATTTGTTTAAAAAACATATATTTTTCATTCAACATTATTCATCTTCTTTCGTATATACGAATGCAATAACTTACAAAGTAAATTTTATTTAATATTGATTAATATTGATAAATTTTATTCATTATTGATGAGATATTTCGTATTTTAATGAAAACAATCCGCAGGATATCATATCTAAAGCGTATAATAAACAATATCGCGTTAGGAAATATTTCGTTCAAAGTATATCACGAATGACATTGATTCATGAGATTTCTCATTTATAAATGTGAAACGATTAAAAATTAACAAGATCTTTTCGATCTTCATACGAACTTTCGATCTTTTTTTAATCCTAATTGTTCATACCTCAATAATAATTTCAAATTATGCAATTTGGTATGCGTTACACCCACCCCAGGTACTTAGAACAGCTGTCCATTTATATGGAATGAATAATTTTATCTTCAAAAGAAAAATACTATATATATTCTACGAAGCCTTGATAATAATAATAATAATAATAATAATAATAATAATAATAATAATCGGTAAGTTTGAAAATGCATTTCTAATTCTTTCATCATAAACAAAAAAAAATTCACGAATCGTACAATGCACAAATTGTTTTAATTGACGTCAAAGCTGAGTCTGAGCGTGTCTTACATCTCACATGCACAATTAGTGTTAAATAAATGAATAAAAAAAAAAAAAGATTACATATTTTTCGAACAGCAAGGATCGATTATGTTCGTGGATTAGTATGGAATACAACTATGAAATCATAAAATAATTAGGCCTACCTCACTACACCGGGATTGCACGAATGATTGAGCAATGCTACCGTTGGATAAACACCACCACCGATAAAAATGCTTTTAGCGCGTGCGAGTGTCGTATCTTTCGTTGGTCTGGTCAATTCTGAGATCTAATTGGAGTAGGGAGAAGGAGTGAAGGGAGGATGGATAGGGGTAGTAGGGGATAGGGAGAAAAAAACAAATGTTCATTTGAAATGGATTCATTGAATGAAAATTGAAATGTATCGATGTAAAATCTTCATTGATTTGATTATAAAAGAGATTACATATTTAAACGTATGTATTTACCTCGTGCGAATTAAATTGCAACAATTGTAAATGATGTAATAGTAATTCGGCCACAAGTAATTCCGCTTTAGAGAGATTGCTCTCGGCTGAATCAGGTGTTTTATCCTTGTCTGATAAGTAAGTTGTTGTTTTCATTAGTCTCAACAACCAAGCGGCTATGTAAGCTCGGTGAAATATATCCTCGTTTGAACGTTCATCTTCATGGGTTACTATTTAAATATATCTTATTATATATATCTTATTATATATATCTTAAATAAGATCTTTTCTTCTTCTTTTTTCTTTTTTTTTTTTTTTTTTTTGGAAATTTATTTCGAAATTTGGAATGATAATTTAAGACCATTCAATATATATATATATATATATATATATGTATACATATATTATATAATAGATATATATGTATATAAAATTTATTATTTATTATACATGTTATATATATATATTTATTACATAAAAAAAAAAATATATATATATATAAATATATAAAAAATAAAAAAATACATATATAAATATAAACATATAATAAATGAAAAGAAATATATATATATATATAATAAATAAAAATGGCAAATAAATAAGTGTATTGAAAAAAAAAGTTCAAAATTGAATTTAATCAATTAATGAATTTAATGAAAGTATTGACAAGACGAGGAAAGAATTTAAATTTGAAATATCATTATATTTACCTAAATCATAAAATGATTCGTAATCATCTCCGTTATATGGCCTTTTTTCACTTATATCACGTTTCTCCTTGTTAAACGTCAAACGTTCTTTCATTTCGACGAACTCGACGAACGGTCTTTGAAGTAAAGCTCTCAGTGCTAGAAAACACGTGATCGAAGCTTTGGATAGCCATAAAGGCGGCAATAAATTGCATTCGCGTAGATGCACTTCGGCGTCTTTGTCCCTACAACGAGTGCTGCAGTAAGCTATGCAACTGCAGATATTGCAGGCTGCCGGCATGGGAACGAATATTCTCGTGAAACACAAGTGACAATGATTCAATCTAGAAAGAAAATAATTTGAAAAATTTTTCTTAATCTTCGAATGAATTAAAACGATGACTATAGATTTTTTTTTGTTTTCTTTTTTTTTTTTTTTTCATTTTTTAAAAGGGATAAAAGAAAAGAAAAGAAAATAATAATAATAATTATTTTCGTAAAGAATTCGAACAAACAATATGATATTGATTCGAAAACAATTCAATAAATTAAATGACACCAATTATGTTATTATCATCTTTTTGATAATTACCTGTATTCTGCCAATAAGAGAGCGCAATGTGGTCGTTCTATTATAAGAAATTCACCAGGTGAAATGTTTCTTGTAGCAACAGCATGTCTACCAATGTCATTACCATCATCTATTATTTTAACTGCATTGCTACAGGCTGGATAAAGTGGATTACGTATATCGATTTTTGGCATAAAATTTGCCACACTTGTCGATTCTTTAACGTTACCCGAAAGTTTCTTAGCTTTCGCGTTAAATCTTTCACCTTTTTCCATTAACGTCAACATCACTCTAATGTCGGTTTCTAATTTATTTTTTCGTTCGGCCGTTATCTTCGCACGATCTAATGATTTTAACGCAATTCTAAAATAATCGATCGCCTTTGCATTCATTTTTAATGCCAAATAACATCTGGCTCGTCTTTCCTCGATCTTATATCGTAATTCTTCAGGATAATTAAGTCGAATCGCTTCCTCTATATCATTCAATGAATGCTCATGTTGTCCCATATGATAAAGTGCAGCCGAACGATTCGCAAGAATTACTGAGAGATCTGAATAAAAAACGATTGTATATAGATTTCAATTGGATATGAAAAATTATTGAATTTAGCAATGGAATTAAATACAAAATAGAAAAAAAAGTAGAAAGTTGTAATAACGATTAATATCGTATATTCATTTATATTCATTAAAAATTGTGAATTTTTAATGAGAACGTAAATGGATTATCTATGATATATCTGATAAAAAAAAATAAAATATATTTGTTGTTCGTTGATGATTTGAATATCTTTCCTTTATCTTTTCTTATGAATTTTTAATTATAATTAACGAGAACAATTTCTAACCATTTTGTGGTGCCAATAGGACAGCATTCGAGTAGGCCTTCAAAGCCTTTGGATATTCTCCTTGCCCGAAGAACTTGTTACCGGTATTCTTAAAACTCAAAGACTTTTCGTTGTTTTTTATTTCGAGATTTTCAACTTCGAAGGACAAACGATGAGCCTCGGGATAACTCAATATAAAAGCGACCCTATCGGCGTTCGATCGAAGACCATCGAATATTTTAAAATCCTTTTGAGATATGGCATTTCTTACTGACAATAAATTCGACCGAAAATAATTACTAATTTCATGTTCGTAATCGTTCGCCATGTTGAATAAATTCAGAAAACGATCACATGTAATATAATTCTTATAAATGACGACACCGTGTCGGTCGACGACACTGAATGCTACTGGCATAGAGAAGCCAAAAAGTTTGTTAGAACGGATCTATTTCCGTACGTGCTATTTTCAGTTCTATCGTCGATGTGAGGTTGCTATGTATTTAACAGTTTTCATTCTCGAAAAATATCAATATTATTTTGATAGTGATCAAATATTTAACAGGATGACAATTGAAATTTAATGATTAAGGAAAATAATTCATTTGTTATACACAAAGATTTCTTATTTATTTAATTATAAAAATAAATAAGACTCTTTGTTATTTTTCAATACTTTTATATATATATATATATATATATATATATATATATATATTTTATTATGAAAAGTGATCGCAAATATTTTGTGACGTAATAAATAGGATGTAATTAAAATCTAAACATTTAAATAAATTATAAAAATATTACAGCTAAATTTTTTAATTTAATTATAATAATAAATAATATTTTTACTTTAACTTTTAATAGAATTATGTATTTTATTATAAAAAATGATTGCTTCAGATGTTACATCCAATAGCAATTATCTCGTCATATAATAAATAGGACATAATTAAATTCTAAATATTCAGATAAATTATAGAAATATTCTAGCTAAATTTTTTTCATTTAACCATAATAATAACTATGCTTTTCTTTTTCTTTTTTTTTTTTTCTTAACCTTTAACACGCTTATGTATTTTATTATAAAAAGTGATCTCATTAAATAATGCTGTCTCGTTATTATTAATATAAGATTCTTAAGAAAACATAATTTAAAAGAACAATTTCTCTTATTAAAGTATAGACGAAATTTATTATTATTTCATCGATAATTTCATTTACAAAGATGTAATAGAAAGGAAGGTATTACAAGGAAGAGAATTGATATTATTTATATTGTTGATTCTTAAAAATGCTGATTTCATTTTTCTTTATCCAATTGTAATACGATCATTGTACTCGTAAATATATATGAACTATAACTTAAAGTATAATATTTACAATATTTTATTAGCGACGTAAAAAATGTGAATGCAGTTAATTAGATACATCACAATTTAGCGAAAAACTGCGTCCTTTTTTTTTTTCTTTCTTCCTTTTCTTTTTTTTTTTTTTTTTTAATACGTTCCATGCCAAGCCATTTTTGTCTGACTTATTGTTCAGGCCATTTGTTATTTTGACTAAAGATTAAATGTAATTATTAATTATTATATATATATATATATATATATATATATATATATAACAATTAAATAAACTTATGTGTTTTCTTCTATACTACATTTTGTATAATGCATCATTTTTTTTGTTGAAATATATTTTGCATAATTACATTTGTCATAAAATATGTTTTCAGTGCATTAAATAAATATGACTGCGTGTACCACCGGTGGTACACGCGGCTCGAAGATCAAGTTTAACGTGTACCACCGGTCGTACACATGGCACGGAACGTATTAACGAAAGCTCAAAGCTCCAATGAATCGTATCTCATGCTTTAATTAAATTAATTTAGATTAATTTAATTTAGGGATGTATGAATGTATCATGTGCAATTTCACGCGATTAAATAATCGATCGTTAAGAGCATTAAGGAATTACTTTCGGTCTTACTGTCAGAAAGAAATTAAATTATATATATATATATATATAACTATTTCTTTTAATTTTTTTTATTTATTTCTTTTGCTTCTTTTATTTTCTCTTATCATTTCATTTTACTTAGCACACACACACACAAAAATGTTCACATTACGTGTGTCGTATAATCGTGATAAATTTAAATAGTAAAAATTCATACTCGACATCGAAGATTTTTAAAATGGCAAAAATTTTCATCCATATTTAGAAATGAACAAATTAATCTTAATAATCATAATAAATGCTGAGGTATTATGTAAATAAATATGTACGTATGTACATATAAAATTAATACTTTGCATATAACGAGTATATGTATGTATTTATGTATGATATTGTATGATATTTTTAGAGTCAAATTATATTACATCTTTTACAGATCTTTTTTATTATTTATATTACAAACTTATGTAATCGTTCTTCTCTCTCTTTCTCTATCTCTCTCTCTTTCTCTTTCTCTCTTTTTCACACACTTTTTTTCTTAATCGAATGTTCATTTCTTATTTAAAATTTTCTTGAATCTGTTAAAGTACAGTGCCGTCTATTATTATAATTATGGTTAGAACGAATAAATAATTTTAATAATAGCAACGCGCAGAGAACGATAATGCAAAAGAGAAATATATTAATCAGATTTCGTATCATTTTAATAATATTAATAATTCACAAAAGGTATTCGTATGACATACTACAAAATTTATTGTGTTATATATATATATATATATATTATATAAAAAACAAGAAATGGAATACAATTTTAAAAAAAAGAAAAATATATATATATACGTATGGAAATTTTCGAGAATTCTATGATTAAGATCGATTTGATTATAAAAAGAATGAAAACGTACGATTTGACTAGATGGAAAAGTTATACTGATTCGTGTATATACGAACGCTCTGAAATCGAGGATCGATAATGCCTTTGGTCTTCCATGTTCGGATTCGAACTAACGGGTGTCTGACAATTAGTGGCAGCATGTATGTAATAACATTAATAATGAGAGAAAAAAATTACAATATGACGTTACATTTATCTAAATATATATATATATAAATATAAATATAAATATATATATATATAAATATATATATATATATATAATTACATATACCGAAGTAAATCCACGCTCGATAATAAAAATTTCCAATTTTTAACATGAATCATATTATAATGATCGAAATGATCGTAATGAATAATGATTCAAATGATTGCGCATAATAATTAATTTCGTTAGCGGACAAATATTGATTTTTTTTTATCTTTCTTTTCTTTTTATTATTATTATTATTATTATCATTATCATTATCATTATCATTATCATTATTATTATTATTATTATTATTATTATTATTATTATTATTATTATTATTATTATTATTATTATTTTTTTTTTTGTTTTCTTTCTTTCTTTTTTTATTTATTTATTTATTTTTTGTTGTTGTTATCTTCTTTTCTTCTTATTTTTTCTTATTAATAACATATTAAAAATCGTAAGAAGCCTCATCGCTTTCCTTCGTACTCCTGAAGCCGATTTTATAAAGGCCACCGGCGATAACACCACCGACTATTGGACCAACCCAATAAACCCAATGATTCGACCAATATGTTAGGATAACGGCAGGACCCAATGATCTCGCTGGATTCATGCTACTACCGGTGAATGGTACTGCGGCCATGTGCGACACAGAAATGGCTAAACCTATGGCTAAAGGTGCCCATCCTTTCGTGTCACTTCTTTTTGGGTCTGTAACAGCGTGTACCACCAGAACCAAAAGAAATGTGATAATTGCCTCCATAACGATACCTTGACCTGCCTCAACACCTTCAGCCAAATCTGTTGCACCCAATCCTTGATTTAGTTGCTGAGCTGGTGTTAACATCTGTAATATCAATATATTTTTATATATGTGTGTACGTGTATGCGTGTGTATATATGTGTATGTATATATATGTATATATATATATGTATGTATATATATGTAATATATTTTATTATATATACATATAATATTATATTAGATATATTATATATATGTCTGTATAAAATTTTATTTATATTTTATTTAAATAGAGATTTTTAATAATTATAATTTCATTCAATCGAAGAATAAAATTAAATGAATTTGAAAATTTTCAATTTGATTAAAATAATTATAATTAAATTTAATTATTATATTCGTATATAATTTTTTATATCTAATATTATTTATTAATTATATTAATTTACATATAATAAATTAGAATTGATTTAATAATTATACATAAATTATTAAATTCAAGAATTGAAGAAGTTTTTATCAAAAATAAAAATGTCATAGTTTCTAAAGAATATATTTCCTTTGTTAAATAATAGTAAAAATAAAAAAAAAATAAAAAAAGAAGACAAAAAGAAGAAAAAAGAAGAAAAAAAAAGAAAAAAAAAAGAAACAAGAAAAAGATAAAAGTATGGTCGTAGTATACCTTTAAAACAACGGCACCAGCTATTGCTCCGCAACTTTGGCAAACGATGTAACAAAGTGTTTTCAGGATGGAACAATTGCCGCTGACGAAAAGACCGATTGTTACCGCAGGATTTACGTGACAACCAGAGATTGGGCCTAAAAACTGTACAAAAAAAAAACAGAAACGAATATAACATTAGCACGTACAAATTTATAATATTTTATAACAATTTAAATTAATATTTGTTTTGATCGAGGTTTAATAGCATTTGAATTTCGCGCGAAAATGAGAATACGTTGTGCTGCCATCTTGTGATACGTAATGATATCAACTTAACATAAAAAGACGTCGATAAATTTTAAACGTTATAGATGTCGCTTTTATTTAAAGCTAACAATCCGTATGATTCTTAATGAACGTATAAAGTAATATCAATAAATGATACATTTAGTATTTTTTTTTAATATTTATTAAACTATGATTCTTGATATCGACGATATATACGAATGATACGTTATCGTCAAACATCGACAATTAAATGTAAAATATAAGGAAAATTACAACGAGATAGCAGCACTAGATATTTTTGATACAAAATTCAAATGCCATTTAAATTTCGTAATTATAACATAACCATAAAAAAAAAAGAATATCCTCTCTTTCTTTTCATTAAACTGAATCAATCAAATTATAATAGAAACCAATTAAAATTCCTAATGTCGAACAAAATATTTTGAGACGAATATTGAACGAAAAAATTGAAAGTTCTTTTTAATTCTTTATATTTAATCCAACGAAAAAGAAGGATATCTTAAAAAAAAAAAAAAAAGAAAAGGAAGGATATCGTAAAAAAGAAAAGAAAATGAAAAAAGATTCTAACGAATCACTTGGTAAATTATTTGTTAGTTCTAATATTTTAAATCAATATATTAAATAAATGTGATCAATATTTATAATAAAACATCAGTAATTGATATAAATGAATGGTATTACATTAATTTATACAATCAACAATTGTCAGTTATTTGAATTAAAACATTCATA